AAGAATCTTAGTAATCTAGGAGGACAAGTCATTCATGAGAATCACTTAGGTCATTAATCTAGTAGTTATATATAGTAGTTAAACAACCCTGATAATCCAGAAAGACAAGTCATTCATGAGGATCATTTAGGTTTTGTATCATGCATCAGTAGAACATCCTCAGCATTCCGGTGGAGGACAAGTCATACCGATAGGAACACCGTAGATATATAACCGGTAGGTCCATTATACACTGATGACACAATTTCAGACACAACACCAAAATTACGTACATCACTATATCATGCATGAAGCGTATAATACATATATAGATAAATATATGAATAAAATATCAACATTTCCAGTAGTTAACCAATATTGTACATATGTTTACCTCTCACTAGAGGATATAAGTAACTACTCATGCCCCATTGCTACAAACAAGCAAGGAGTGCGGACAGTTTTCATTACGATTAAAATTAAAATGCAGATTTTGACACTTCTTTCACAAGGAACAACTGAAACACGACCACCTTTATTATTAGTCAAGACAAAAAGGTGGTGGTAGTTCAACTATCCAAATAGAAAGATACAACAGAAATGTAGAAATACATAGCTTCGACTGAAATGTATGACGTATCGGATTAAATTTCAATTTCTCTTTCTCTCTTTCTTTTTCTCTTTTTCTCTTTTGGAATTCTCTCTTGACTCCTCTATGGCCGTCCTTGTTCAAATGAAAAGAGGACACCCCTATTTATAAGAAAAAAGGAAGCAGGAGGTGGAGGGATAAAGCTCAGCCGCCTTTGGGGACCAATTGGACGCCCCTCCACCGTCCGGACGCCCATGCCTTGCTAGTGTTTTTGCATACTGATTCACTTTGTGTGCTAGCTTTCTTTGGGTATATTACTCTTTGGTCCTTCATTGTTTCAAGCTTTGACAATTTGTTCCTTGTATTTTGCATCAAAACTTGAAAATTTAGACATAACACACATAAAACCCTAATTCCCGCACAAACCCTAATTGATAGTTTTTAGTTAGTTTATCTTATCAATTTGACTTTTTTAACAATTCTAATTTATATCCTAATTAGGGTTAATCACGAATTCTAAAGATTATGTAGTTTTTTTCATTTATTGAATTTCAATTTCATTTGTTGTTAACTCTCAAAATTCTTGAACTCAAATAACTTTTTCATTTTATTTTTCATCACTTTGGATTCCAATTCTTTCCCTGAGAAGATGACCTTGGACTTTTGTTCAAGTTACTACATGATATATTTCTCTTACGATTGGGAGCTTTCATGAAAATACAACCCCTTTTTGAGGGCAAACAATATTGAGTTTAAAATCAACGTAATCCAAAAAAGACCTAACACCCTTAAGGGTTGTGGGGGTAGAAAAATTGTCAATGAATTCAATTTTTACTTTATCTACTTGAATTCCCTTAGAAGAGAAAATGTGGCCCAGAACAATTCTCTTTTGAACCATGAAGTGACATTTTTCCTATTGAGCACTAGGTTCTTCTCTTCACACCTTATCAAAAAAATTTCAAGGTTAAATAGACAATCATCATAAGAATCACCAAAAATAATAAAGCCATCCATAAAGACTTCAAGAAAACACTCAACCATATCACTAAAAATACTAAGCATGCACATTTGTAAAGTCATAGGTGCATTGCAAAGTCCAAAAGACATCATTCGATAAGCAAAGGTGCCAAAAGGGCAATTAAAAGTAGTTTTCTCTTGGTTTTCTAGGGAAATGTTAATCTGGTTATATACTGAATAACCATCTAAGAAGTAATATAACAAGTGTAAAGTTACCCTTTCTTAAATTTGATCTATGAAGGACAAGGAAAAATGATTTTTTCATGTAACAGAGTTAAGTTTCCTGTAGTGTATGCACATTTTTCAACCAGTTATGATTCTAGTTAGTACAAACCCATTGTTGTCATTAGAAACTACAGTAACACCAGATTTCTTAGGGACTAACTGTGTAGGACTCACCCATTTACTATCAACTATAGGGCAAATGATCCCTACATCTAACAATTTCAATACTTCATTCCTAACCACTTCCTTCATGTTAGGGGTGAGTCTCCTTTGCATCTCTCTAGATGTTTTGGCATTGTCGTCTAAGAAAATCTTTTATGTGCAAACTAAGGGACTAATTCCCTTCATATCAGCAATATTCCACCCAATAACACCCTTGTGCTCTATAAAAATTTGGAGTAACTTACCTTCTTGGATTGAACTAAGGTGGGAAGAAATTATTATTGGAAAGGCACACTTTAAATAAATAGGTAGAGGCTTCAATACTAGCTTTGGTGCTACAGAACTAGGTGACAAAGGTAGGTTATTTCTAGGTGGAAGCTCCTCAAACTTTCACTTCCAATCTCTCACTTCATATACCTGTGAAGAATTCACAATAGAAGTTAATTCATTTATTTCAAAATCTAAATATGAATTTGGAATTGAATATTTTCTTTACAAAAATCTAAATTGTTCAAGTATGATAGACTCAATTAAGTTCACCTCATGCAAGTCATCTGATTTACATTTGAATCAAACAATTCATAACAAATACAGTTTGGTAAGAAAAAGAGCAAGGACATCTACTGCAAACCCAAATGATATTTTGTAAAAAAAATTAAAAATAATAAGTTAATTTATTAATAAAAAAATAATAAACTTCAAGAATACACACTCACAGACTCACACACACAGAGAAACAATAACACACAGATCTGAGCAATATATACATAGATCTATGTATATATAGATTTTTTAGACTTACCTTCACAGCAAGAGAGATCGATGGAGGGCTTCGTTCAGGAAGGCAAGAACGACGAGGGCTTTTGTTCAAGAAGGTAGCAATGACATTCGTTCAAGCAGGCAGCAATGACTTGCAAGGATGAGGGGGAGCTTCGGTTTGCCTTCCAGAAGATAGAGAGAGAGGGTGCTTCGATTCGTCTTCAAAGACAGAGAAAAAGGGTGCTTTGATTCGACCTGTGAGGATGAGAGAACCGATTAACAAAATAGTAATGCTAGGCCGATCAAACACCCAAATTATTTATATTTCCATAAAAATACACATCTATTTTTGCTAAGAGGAATTGAATCCGAAATCTCATTAAACTCCTTCGGTCCATTCAATGAGTGTTTTGTGTTTTGGTTGTTTTCTGAAACATAATTTGTTTGTTCTCATTTTTTTAACTTGTTTCCAAGACAAATTAGATGAAACAAAAAATAAAAATAATTATTAAAAATATTTTTGTTTGTTTTTTTGGCAAAAATTGAAAGCAAAAATATAAAACAACAACCAAAAACATAAACAAACAACCCCTTCGTTTCTAAGCAGAAGAGTTATTTTCAAGTAGTGACAGAAAAATAATGCATGATAGTGCAATGTGTCGTGCAAATTGTAGGTAATCTTACAAAGTCCTACAAGGATTGTTTGCATGCTCATTATAGACCCTCATGCGTGTATGTGAGATTGTATAGGAGTATCAAAAAAATTACCAAATAGAAGCTCTAACTCTTCCCTAATCAATCATCCACTTGGCTCACGGTGTCTAGAGCTCTTAAAAAAATAAATAAAAAGAGATAGAAGTAGAAAACAAAAAATTAAATGACAAAACAAAATAATAGAAAAAATAAAAGTGAAACGAGCTTACCAGATCTGTGAAGAATCTCAAATCAAGCAAATCTTAAGGTATGATGGTGTGCTCCTTGCCTTCCAACAAATCCCCGACAATGATTCCAAAAATTTGCTACAACTCAAATAGTGTAAAACCAAAGTGTTGGTTGTGCGAAGTAATCAATTTTCTTGGAATTCCGATGTCGCATCTCATACAATTGTGAATGACTTAGAACACAGAAAAATTAAAAGAAAATTGTTTTAAAATTGTTTTTATAAAAATTGTTTGTTCAGAAGAACATAAATTGTTTGACTAAAACCAATAATTGAGAATACTAAAGCATTGAAGATACCATTTCAATTCCACAAAATAATTATTAATGATCCGATTTTTTAACTCAATTAAGAATTAGTTGAGTGATCTCAATCGGAATTTTTAAGAGTTATAATATTAAAAACATCCAACAGTATAATTGATAATATTATAAATCTAAGTATCTAATTGTAAATCACAAGCATTCATCGTACCCATCTGCGATGAATCAAGTTTTTCAATAAATAAAACTTATTTTTATCACAAGTAAGGAATTAATTATTTTATGAAAATTCTAATCAATTAATTCAAGCATGTAAAACCAGTTATTTACTCGCAGGGAATTCAAACATTCGATGTATGTGGCACACCTAATCAAGTAATTATCAGAACAAAAATTTTACTAAAAGACATGAATTAAATTAAAAGAAAAATTCATACATTAAGAACATTGGATCAAAAACAATATCGTGCTTTATTAAAAGCTTCTCCCCTAACTTTTGTTAGGGACTTTTGCAATCTATAAGAAAATAAAACAAAAACTAAGGAAGAGGGGCTAAGAGAAAACCCCCCTCTATATGGTTCACATCAGCTTATATAGGCACTAGGGTACCAAAAACTTAAATAAAGTTAAAGTATGAAGTAATTGATCGGTTCTAATTATCGTGTTTTGACACGTGTTTTCAACCGTCTTAATGCTCCCTTGTTATCTTGGCCTGTCTACTACTCACAGCTAGACGTGTGTTCAGATTGCTTCAATCAATTTCTGCATGCAGCTACTAGAGTAGCCGTTTGGATGCGATATTTCTACCATCCGAACGCGTGCCTTCAATCTTCTCTTTGCAGCCACTGAAAGTCATGTCCGTACGCGCTTTCCAAATCGTCTGGACGCACGAGGAAGTGGCCCTTTTTAACTCCTTAATGCTTTGGATCTTCTTCTCTTTTTGTATTTGTCCTTCAAATCTTTAACTAAACTAATATATTTGCAAAAACAGATAAACACTACAAAAGAAAATAAAAATTCCAAAACATACTAATTAAACTCATTTATCTCTTTACTCAATGTAATTAACCATCTATTAGTATACTAATCATACAATATTTTCAACCCTAATCACATTCCTTAAGCGCAGGAGAACACTCTGCTTGCAGCTTATCTACATAAAGAGGAGGCCTAAAAGTGCTAACAAGTCACTCTAACATCCCAGTTCACGGGGAAGAAAGAAAAAACAGCTCTAACAAAAGTAATCCCCCCTTACCAACCCAGCCTCCCCTAAGCCCCTTGGGAGAATACCTATTACGTCGAATAGTCATGTGGGCTACTATCCTTTGTATCACATCCATTGTAAGAAATAAAACAACTCACAAATCTTTTGACCATACAAGCCAAAGTGCCTCCACGCCAACCCCTGATCAGTTTTGGCACACTACCACCACTTTCATGCACAAAACAATCAACTCTCTATCAACTTCCATACAAACTAGCAAGACAGATCAGATGAAGAAAAACAAAGACAAATGGGGAACAACAAATAAAAATAATAAAATAACGGGAAAATTCTCTTCTTCCCCACCAGTAGCTCCCACCTTGATCCCGATAACAAATCCCTCTTGTGCCCTTGCAGATATCAGCTTCAACACTCACATCCCAAGCTTTGATGAACATGAAAAAAATTGTAAGAATTACGATTTCAATTCATATGTCCCCAGGTCATCTATAAAATCACTATTTGCCTTTGTTCTGTTGTTCCTTTTGCTCTCTGATCTTGGATCTGGGTTGCCACTCTTGTCGGTGTCAATATACTCCTGGGATTCAATCTCCATGCTACCTGCATGAGTTCTTCGGTGCCTTCGATCCTGTAGTAATAAATACAATCAAAATCCAATTACAAATCATCACTAACATTCATTCCTGCACTGAAGAGCTTTTAAAACCAAGCATCATCTAATCAAAGAAAGCCAGCTTGCACAGTATAATGTTGGGATAACAAAAAAATGGAGAAAGAGATAAATGATCAATTGACTGGTGGTCTACTGTTGATTCAAAATGCAAAATTTATTCACTTTATTTTTATAACTGTAAAGAGAATTCTTGATCAGAATGTATATCAAATGCAATTAAGAAAAAGATACATAAGCGGTTGAATCATTACCATAACAGTATTATGCTAAGAGATTTATTCATTCACAAAGAATAAAGCTTTTAAATGAAGCATCAAATTCATTGTATCACGATAACTTATGAATATGACTCCCGAGTCCAGAACAACATTCGCAATGATGTTGGTTAAGTTTAGCATGGAACAACATTCAAGACATTGCCTCTAAAATAGTGAATCTTCAATCTAAATTGACACTCTCCAAAGCCGATGCATTAGTGCAGTGTCTATTACCACTTCCCTAGAGCTTTCACTGGGTTGCCATGCCACTTGAAAGCAAACTAAATCGATATACATTCATGATTGCTGCTATTGTGGGGTAGGAAATTTCTATTCTCAGCCCCAAGGCATAAAGCAAAAGAGGAATATCACGTGTTTCCTCTTCAATTGTGCACTTTAGGTAAAATCTCTCAAGACAACTAATGATACTAATAGCCCCATTCAAAAAAGGACGTAGAAATATACCAGTTGAAGAAATAATTGAAGGCAAAATTCTATCACAAAGTAGTGCAACACAACAAGAACTAATGCTTTGAATAGCCCCATTCAAATACAGTGGATAAATGTGGAAGTAAAAGAAATACTTACAAAAGCAAAATTCCATCACAAGGATGTGCAAGCACATGCAACTACAAATAATCCAGATCGCAATAAACATATATTCAGGGATACCACCATGAAAAATATAAGAAACAATCATATGTACAATATCAGAGTTTCTTTATTGAAAAGGTACACACATCAATTAGGCTCTTCCCAAATTAATTTATTTTACCAATGACAAGGTATAATGGTACATGATAGTTGTCAACATAATTTGTTTCCATAAATGAACGGATGAACCAAAGTAGCTAAGTTACAAAAGTGGAAGATGCTATAACTCGGATTTCAAGATGATCGAGATAAAAGTAAAAAGGCATAAGGAATATAAATAAGTAATCATAAGGTAATAAAAGAGAATCCATAAATTTTGCAGCCGAATACCCAGGACTTTTTCTTAGCTTCCTTGATACGTAACCTTAGAGATGAGATAATGAAGAGGGTGCTAACCTTTAGATTAGAGAAAACCCACATGAAGATAGAATGCTTCGCAGGTTACTCACTAATTAAAGAAAAGGTTGAATATGAAGGAGGTTTCTTCATTGATGCAGTGTTAATTGATGTAGTATGTATACTTATCCATTACAAAACTAATGGCAAGATTCTATAAATCTGAATGAGGCTAGCAACTCTATTAGCTTAAACTGTTAAACAGATAAAAGGAGCAAATCTGATGTAATGAAATTTTTGGAAGGCAAAAAAGAGAAATTCACTTTCTCTAAAGGTAGTACCCGATAGAAGATGAATTCAATTAAAATTACATGCAGACCGATCAGTTTCTTTACTGATAAAATTCAGATAAAATTGTTTATGCCATATGCATGCAGAATAAAAAACTTACCTCTCTTGGTATAGGATATTCCTCTGACTCAAGCATACGCACTACTTGGCTCATCTTAGGTCTTTTGTCAGAATCTGGATCGACACACCTCAAAGAAGTTAAAAGGGCTCGTTTTAGGCCTCTTGCCGATGGTCTGGTTTCAATGTTAGGGTCCACTACTTCCTCCGAGCGCCTGTTTCCGACCATCATTTTCAGCCAATCAACAAGATTTACCTGCAAACATCACATTGTTGAAAAATCAGAGCATATTTGAAGGGAAATAACCAGACGGAAGTCAAAAGGAGAAAGTATGGAAAAAAAAATGAAGAGGCTTAAAGAGACTAAGTTTATAAATTTCGCTCGAAGACTTGATTCATTAAATATCACAAATTACAGATGTTGGCATAACTCATAGAACAAGCAACTTCAAAGGAGCATATAAATGATCCAAAAATTAAATTGAAAGAAATGAGAATCAATCTATCCAAAGCTTGTATCACATATGAGAAATGGGCATGTGAGACTTTTAGTTTTATGAGCTTTAACTTATGGGATAATTTCGTATGCCTCCGCATTAGGATTGATGAAAGAATAAATTCTTCAGAATGTACAGCTGTTAAATGCCAATAAAAGGGATATGTCCCATACCCATAGATATCCCTTTAGGAAGTCCTGTGATTGAAAAATAAAAATAATAATACATCATGAAGAGTATTGAAGAAGCTGAGCCTAAAAGGGAAAATAAAGAGAGAGATAAAGGAGAAGAATCCTTTCCTGTCTAAAGTAATAGTTTTTGAAAGGAATCTAAAGTAACTGAGTAGGCTCAGTGCACAAACCAATGTTAGGCTAAGAACAAAAGCTTTATAAGTGTGGTGCAACGTGAAAAACATTATCACAGATTGTTCTCAATGGATCATATTGATAGCATATCCAACATCAGATGCATAGTCTAATCATTCATAATAGTCTTCATGCTGAATCCAAATTGCGTCAAATTTTTTGAGTAGATGAAAATTCAAAAACATCTTCGCTGTCAAGATTCTAACAGATTCTCAGATTATATCGTATTAAACACATACCTCCTGAGCAGGACGACCATAGTCCACTGGATCTCTTCCTGTAATTGCTTCCAAAAGCAAAACGCCAAAGCTATAAACATCACTCTTTTCATTTAAAAGGCCCGTATTTGCATATTCCGGAGCCACGTATCTGCATTATTTCAAAAGAAAGAAAATAAAAATGATATAATTCCTTTAGATCAATCTAACATACAACAACATTTCAAAAAATCCTACAATTTAGGAAACAAAATAAAAAACAAAGCAAATTATTGAAGTTATACTAACCCGAAGGTTCCCATGACCCGTGTTGTGATGTGACTTTTTCCAGCACCAAGTAGCTTAGCCAAACCAAAGTCAGAAACCTTGGAATTGAAGTCATCATCAATCAATATATTGCTTGACTTTATGTCTCGGTGAACAACTTTTGGCTCAATTGCTTCATGCAAGTAGGCAAGTCTGCAATAAATGTACCACATGTCACAAGATCTACCGGTGTTGAAAGAGAGAGACAGTTGGATTTAACATACGCCTTTGCTGTGCCAAGGAGAATATTCATTCTGGCCTCCCAAGGAAGATATCCATGCTGGCGCATAGCTCCATGAAGCCATTGTTCTAAATTTCCATTGTTCACGTACTCGTAGACTAACATCCTGAAACATATGGAATAAATGAGAAAGATACTGTTTGAAATGAAAAGTGAAAACTGGAAGGACTCAAGGTCTTAGATGCATTATAAAACCAGCTGTTAGTTTGAGTGGCATCTCCTCCCACCACCCGAGCAGTGGAGATTCAGGTTTTAAATTCCACTTGGGACTTGGATGCATGTGTGAACAAGAAAAACTACATTCATTTCAAGGGTTTGGTTTCTAACACCAAGGGTGACTCATTGCCGGAACGAATGCAAACAAAAAAGCTATTAAGAAATACGTTTTACCAGAATAGTACCTATGAGTTCCTTCAATGCAGTATCCGAGAAGGCGAACCAAATTTTTATGACGCACATGGCCAATAGCATCAACCTCCACTCTAAATTCCTTCTCCGCTTGGCCTCTAGAACAAAAGAGTTCACATATTTAACTTCCAACATTTGACAACCAACTAAAACAAGAAAAATAAACTACCATACAGGCATGAAATAAGCAAAGCCATTTTTAAACTCACAGGTTGTTGAGGAGCTTCTTAACTGCCACTGGAGTCCCATTAACCAAATGTCCCTGGTAAACAACTCCATATCCACCCTCACCAAGAACATTCTCCTTTGAAAATCGGTTTGTTGCAAGTTCAAGATCTCTTAATGTAAACCAGTGACCCCAACCCAAGTGAGAAAATTCAGGCAGGCCAATTAAAGGAGAAGGAGCATTTATTGGACGTGAAGAAGAAGATTTATACAACGCAAATGTGTCAGAACTCCCTTCTTCTCCTAATTGAGACCCTCCACCCTCTTTATCAAGATGATGGAATGAATCCGATCGACTGCTGTTATCTCCATTCTCTGTTTTTCCCCTTCTCAAATGGAGCAAAACCTTATCAGATTCTTTATCGCTGGATTTGTCATGGATTGCGAGAAGAATCCCATCACGTGGAACAAATTCATTTGTTGACACTAGATCCACCTGTACTTCCTTAATTTCCTTTGAAACAATTGGAATATGACTAAGGGGAATCTTTTCTCTAGCCCTTCTAGATCGCTTTCGTGAAGTAAGATAAAAAGTTAAGCCAAAGAGGATAACCACAATAAATAACCCCACAATGATCCCAATCAATTCCCAAACCTTGAGACCAAAAATGCCAGTTTTCTCCGATAATTCTGCATTGAGAACAGTAGCCATTTCTCGCAAACCTCAAAGCATCTACAGAATAAATACAAAAACAAGCAGGATTGAGATTTATGTTGCAAAGTATACATCTAACACTGGTGTTGATTCCGCTGCATCATTAATGGAAAATTGTTACAGTATATTTCTTGCTCTCCTAGCATTCATGGCCTCTCATCTACCCTATTCATGTGCTCATCCTACAACTCTCACTGATAAAGGGGTAAAAAGTCCACCATTTCCTCTTAAAGCCAACAATGTAACAGGAGAAACAAGAAGGCATGTTCGAATAGAAAGTGTAATAAACAAGATTCACAACACAGGTACACATTCCACTTGGTTAATATATAGATCAAGAGCACAATGTAACAAGATCCACTAATATAAGATCGTTTGCTTTTTCTCGTTTAATTATTCTACCAAAATAAACATTGAATATATTCTGGCAGCGAATCTAAAACTGAAAAAAAAAATGGGAAAAAGTTAAAACAAACTGTTGCAATGTTATTTGAAAGCTATTCGTTCTCATACCTGTTTGAGAGAAGATTTAGAGGAGCAACATTCAGTGCGCAGATCCGAGAAGCCCCATTTCCTCGGGCAACTAACCAAACACCAAACACAGATCTCTGACCAAACAAACCTAGAAAAAGCACATCAAAAAGACCTCATTTCTAAGACACCCAAATCAACCCAGTTCAAAGAAACACCAGTTATATAGCCAGTCTGAGTAATTTCCTATGTGGGTCCTCTCTGTTGGAGCAAATGTGAGTCTTAATCTAAGCTGAGACGGTGCTTTCTGACAGCACCCATTGCCTCCCCTCTTCTTAAAAATCTATACACGAAAATGAGAGCCGAAGTTGCTTTTTTTTTTTTTTTTTT